ATATATATATATATATATATATATAGATGTATTTTGAACAACATGTAAATGTTTGAGTTCATTTATATGGAGTAACTCATATAAAAGGGTTTTCAATTGAATATAAACTAGTAGTTACAGTGACATCATCAGTAAATTATGCAAATTAGTTCTAATGAAGTTTGAAGCTTCATTCAGTAATGTTTTCTGAACATTCAAAGATCAAATTCTACTATTTGTTGCAATCTTACTCAAAATTATGCATCACTATTAGACGTCAAATTATAGTTTTTCCATTCCAGCTACCAGCAAAAATTTTCAATTTCAAAACTTAATGCACACATGTTGTGAAGAACCCATATTACAACTCTTTGAAATGAAAGTTATACATGTACAGGACTGATAAATATCCAATGGTTGATGTGAACACTTTAATCAAATACATATCATTTAACATTTTATAATTTAAAAAATAGTTGCTTATAAAATCTGAACTAATGAATTTTCACAGAATTCAATTTATCATTTAATCTATGATGTATGAAATAATTCACATATTTTTCAAAGATTATAGTGATTTACTTAAATGAGAAATGACAAGGTGCCTTTAAACTACACCCTGCTTTTTCATATGCTGATTCAATGCATCATTCTATACATTATATACACCAATGAGTTAACTGATTCTTGGACAATACTACCAAATTTGATAATGACATTGAAATCCTATGAGCTGGTTTATTATTTGCTTAATAGCACTTAAGAAGCTCATTTATCACTATGCAAGGCATTCTCTATAAGAAAGCAGATGTTATTCAATAGGATACGGCATGTATAGTATAAGTGAAGATATTCAGCTAATTAAGTAAATCTGCCTAAATAATACTTCTAAAATTTATAATAGTCTTTTTCAATTAAAATGAGACAAATGTCACTTTTCTGATCAATTTTTTTATATACACATTGCTCTTGTAAAGAAAAAAAATCTAAACTCAGAGCCTTGCTCTACAGTAGTTACTCTATTAGAATTGGTAATATCCAAAATAAGTCCAAATATTGCATGCCAATGATTTTAATTCTTTTAAGATTTTATAAATGAAATTATGAATACATAGAATTTTATGTCCACTAACTTAACCAACAAATACAAATGATCAGCACAAAGCATATTACCATGTGATCATTCCCACTACAGAGAATTAAGTTACTGCTAATTTACACAGAATAGTAAAATATATAACTGCTATTTCAAGGAACTGTAACACAGGCTAGTTGCTTTATTTCCCATATTTTTATTGTGATAAAAAAAATTTACTTCTTTCAGAGAATTGTCCATCATATTACCTTTTGCTTCCTTCTCTTCTACATAGTGATTACTCTGTTATCATTATGAATAATTCTCAACAGCACAAATTCCTTTCAATTTTTTTACCATGTGGGGTTTTGAGCACAAGTTAATAATTCTAACAAAGAAATTTCTGCCTTTAAACATGTATGGGTTCAAGTTTTTAAAACACAATTATTTATGCTATATGTGGGTTTTCATTTTGTTTTCTGTGATCTATATAAGCACTTAATGACATTTGAAATCCTGCTCTTTTGTTAAATTTATGAAGTACTTTGAATATATCCTAAATATTTAAAAATTAGAATCAGATGTGTTCTCAATCTGAGATATAATTATTTCTCTGTATAAAAATTAAAACTAAAGTTTGCCTGATATCAAACAGTATATGAGAATAATTGATATTTACTATTAGTATTACTAACATTATCATTACTAGACCTGTTGATTAAACTTTTGTTAAAAAGGTAAGTATGAAACTGAAAAAGTGAAATGTGATATACATTTTGATTTAGATTGGTGTTGAGTTTCATTGTTTGAGAATAAAATTGGCTCAGTCAATGTCATTGATCATTTGATGAGTTAATGGCTGTCATTTTTACCCCTTTAGTTCTTGATTTATGTGTGTGTATATATATATATATGTATGTATGTATGTATATATATATATTGCTTTATATACATACATATATAAATTTTAGGTAACTTAACCTATAATATTCTTTCAATAAAAATAACAGACCTTATATATTCAAGAAACAAACTCACCAAGCCGTAACTCTCCAAAATTACCACATCCAATTTTCTTTCCAACCTTAAAATTTGGTCCAACCATCAAAACACCCGAATTAGTTGATGGGTTTTGTTTTTGTTGACCATGTATTGTTCTTGGTCCGGTACCTTGCTTAGCAACACGTCGAGAGGCTTCTTCTCGTTTCTGCATGTCGGATATTTTTCTTAGTAGGCTTACTACTTATAAGTTACAAACGGTGGATAAATTAACTCGTCTAGCCGGCTTAGTTCAGCATGCACGTTATGTCTTTCAGTTTTCTAAAACTGAAATGGTATAGTTTTAACTCCAAAATGGACTTCTTAAAAATAAAACTAAAGTTAAACATATGATTAGGCTACGAGTAGGAGTAGCAATAGGACAAAATTGAGCGTTCATCTGTAATGGCGTTATGCCTTCTTTCCGAGAATTGTCTTAAATTCGCCATTAGCCTTATTAAACTTTAATCTTAACTCATACACACTCAACTACTTCATATTCAGTTTCCTAGTTAAAATCGGTTTCTTTATTTTTTCTACGTAATGAACAAAGTAAAGTAGTCACCACCAAAACGTCATACAGTTATGCTTACGCTCTTTCACATTTCATTTAATTTCATCTCATCGCAGCTACAGGATACAGATTACGCTTATAGAAAACCTATTTGGCTCTTAACTAAAATTTTTTACATTATTTGACTGAATGTATGCATCTAAGACTTCCATATTTTTTCAATAAAAGTTTTCGAATTCGACTTAAAACAAACGACCAATTATAAGTCCTCTTTAATCAAGGCTCTTTAAATTAAGCACTAACTTTCCTTGCGCCCGATCACAATAGAAGCAACTAGATCCGTTTCCTTTTCCGGTAAAAGTCAGTATGTGTGTTTTATACGAGACATATATTAACATTTTAATTAAATACAAGAAATAAATCACTTCTATAAGTTTTAAAATAAAGAAACCCTTTTGAAAAAAAAAAATCAGAGTTAACCATACGTTATACGCAAGAGTTGCTTGCACACAGTCTGTTTTGATTTTCAAATATTTAACGTTAAACTAAACATTGTACACCTGACCATATAGTGTTGTTTTTGGTCCAAAACTGAAAACCTGATATACAATATATTTCAGCTTTTTAAAATTAATTTTTGTCACTTGAATACTATATCCGATAATTGTAGTTACTATAGTACGGCATAGTTATTCATATCATGGGAGATTCAGTCCGCGTAATAATAACCAATTAAATTATTTTTCTGATGTCTGCTACAGCCACTTTCACCTATAGGCCTAACTTCAAATAGAAAACTTTTGAACAAAAACTACTGTGAGCCTAATTCACTAATAACGTTTAATTGAAATTTCCTTGATTAATAATAAATGTTGACTAACTTACTGATTAGCTTACACAAACTCTTACTCAATAACTTTACTTGATCAATCTTTCCTCAATCAACAACTACTCGATTCCTCCACTTTGAATACTTCACTCAATTACTAAAATAAATGATCATTTATTACTCATTACTTATATTTGTAACTAATAAATTAATCTAGTTATTAGCGGAACTTCCTCAATTATTACAACATCAGTGGGATTAACAGCTTTCGCTAGCAATCATCTTGATTAAGACATTGAAAATATAGCTTATAATCGTATTCCAAGCGGAAATAAGAAACAAAATTATGCAGACAAAAACTTTATTCCTGTGTTGCAGAACTTTGGCAAAATTATATGTGTGACTCAGCAACAAACTCTATTATTTGTTAAATTGTTCCACTTTCATTTACACCAAAAACTTTCAATACTAACCTCCAATCGGAACATAGCTCGTGGTTTTCTGTTGTACCAAGGAAAATACATCTTGGCACAATAAGTGTAAAACACAAAAACTATGAAATGCGTCATAGATCAAACAGCTTTTAGTACACACCCACACATACATATGTGTGAATGTGTGTGTGAACACTCAAAAAAGAAAATTGGCTATTTGTGCTGTGTACACTGCGGATATTGAATCCCAAGTTTTAATATTATAAACTCTTAAATTTAATGCTGAACCACCAGAGGGTAGAACATCTGGTCAAAAACCACTGGGGTTCATGTATAACTACCGATATTTTGAACTAGTGACCAGAGAGAGGGAAGCCAATTAGCAACACTCTCCGCCATTATGGCTTTGTCCAGCTTTGAACCAATTAGTGGCATTGACTGCCATTCTTATAACATACCCAGAACTGAAAGTGTTCAGCTGCATCGTGGAACAAACCTTACTTAGACCTTTAGATCTACAGCTTCAACCTTTAGGCTACTCCCTATCTTTTACTGTTTTTGTATTTTTTTAAAAGAGCATGCCATCTCAATTGAAATATATCTTTTGCCTTTTGGAGTTGTAATAATAAATCTCAAATGCAGGTCATAATGTGCAGTTGATTTTTCTTGATTTTGATATAGATGTACTGCAATGGAGAATAAATTAAATCTCATCAAAAAATAACCTCCATAAATAGTTCTAATTTTAAAAAATATCCGACTCAAATTGCTATATGTAACTTATGATTCTAATCTCATCAAGAACGCCATTAGATATAGATAACTGCTCTTTACTCACATAATATGAAGTCTAGTTTGAAAAAAAAATGTAAAAGGCTCATTCTAAAGCCTTACGGTTGAAACTAATTCACATTGTTTCTATCCTAGCCTTATGACATAGATTTGACAATTTGTTCAGAAACATGACTCAAAATTATCAAATATCTGGCCTGTATTCTACTGTAATATAGCCTGAATTCTATGTAAGTTACCCACAAGACATGTTAATAAAACTTTTTTAAAATATGAAATGCCCATTATGGAAATGGTTTGGTTTATTATTATTACTTACTTCGAAGTAAAATTTGTTTGGAATTAAGCACAAAGCTACACAATGGGCTATCTGTGCTCTGCCCACCACGGGTATCGAAACCTGGTTTCTAGCGTTGTAAGTCCGCAGGCCTCCCTCTTCGCCACTGGGGGGTTACTTCGAAGTCATTGGGTTTCAAATCAATTAACGATCATTTGTGATTTGAAGGTGTGTTTGACTTTTTTAAAAAGTTGATTTTGTATTTTATTTCAAATATTCCTACGTTAAACTCAAATCAACATGTGAGAGAGTTAAGTTTATTAAAGACTACAATTCAGGGCCCGGCATGGCCAGGTGGTTAAGGCACTCGACTCGCAATCTGAGGTTCGCGGGTTCGAATCCCCGTGACACCAAACATGCTCGCCTTTTCAGCCGTGGAGGCGTTATAATGTGACGGTCAATCCCATTATTCGTTGGTAAAAGAGTAGCCCAAGAGTTGGCGGTGGGTGGTGTTGACTAGCTGCCTTCCCTCTAGTCTTATACTGCTAAATTAGGGACGGCTAGCGCAGATAGCCCTCGTGTAGCGCGAAATTCAAAAACAAACAAACAAACAAACTATAATTCATAGAAAGTTCAATAAGAAGACGGATACATATCGCAATGAAACACAAGTTGTTCCTTTCATAAATATATATATATATAACAGTTGTGAATGATTTTTTATGTTTATCTGCTCAACTTCCTGGTATAACTTTACCACTCATCTTCTGACTTCTTCTTTCAATATGTTGTTCCATCTATTTTTCAAAATCTAAAACGACCTTCATTATTCATTGTTTTATAGGCCTAGCTTTAGTATTTCATTGTGGGGTAGTATTTTTCAGTTTTGCACTTAGAAATAATATATTGTTGTTGTTGACCACGTTTTTACTTTAGACGTTTTTATTGTTGTTACACCAGAGGGAAGTCTGAGGTTACATGATGAGCACGTGGCTTAAAGACTAGAGTCTTCTTGAACGTTTAGGAAATGATTTGAGAGCATATAACGTGAGTTAGGTTAGAGTAGATAAGTGATTGATTTGTGAGTCTATTACAATAACTTACCGAGTTGTTTAATAAGTTTGTATGATAGTATCAGCTAATTAGTAAATTAGTTCAATTTTGTGATACATTAAGTTTGTGATTCAACAAATAAATAGAGGCGAGAAAGTGCTGTCGTAAGAGAGAAATTAGTAAATAAGTGAAATTGTTGTATTAGAATCTACCGTGAATTTAGTGCATTCACCGAACATTAGTAAAGTTAACTTTCAAGAAATGAAGCGCTTTAGTTATCAACAAGTAGACTTTGCATTCGTCTTTTCATCGAACAATTCAAAACAATGTGCTACACAACAGAAACACCACTATGTCGTCTGTGTTTTGTGCTGTGCTTGCTCTCGCACTTAAAATTAGGTTTAGAAACGTTATTTTTGGGAAGAGTTTAATAGTTTGTTTCAAGTTAAGCACAAAGCTACACAATGGGCTATTTGTGCTCTGCCCACTACGGGTATCGACTCCCGGTTTCTTGCGTTGTAAGTCTGCAGACATTCTGCTGTACCACTGGAGGGGGGGGGGCTTTTTGGGAAGGGAAAAAAAAACATTTGAAATCTGGAAATTAAAGTGAATGACAGATCCCAGCTTTGTTTGCATTTAAAGCGTTCCTTGAAATATACAGAGTCACGGAGTCATCACTAAGGGGAAGCACAATCTGTGTATTAGGTGGTTTTGCCCAGATATGTTATAGCACGTTTAATAAAGAAACTAACTTTCTCCCTCTTGGCATTTCTTTACAGCCCACATCAAAAAGTTGCGCCCTCTCTTCGACTGGTCAAGAGTTGTGGTGAAACTGACGATAGATGATATATCGATTCAAGAAGGCCAGCGTTAGGGTGAAGTTGTAATTTGGAAATGAAATGTATTTGTCTTTCAAAGACAGAACAACCAGGTAAAACTAGAAATACATAGAATCCTCTGCTTATTGGATAAATATAACCTGGTAAAATTTGTATTGGTATATCCACATGCTTAGGATCACCGACTGGAAGTGACATAACATACACATTAAGAGATTATCAGTTGGTGGCAAGAGTTTCCTTAATGGATGAACATTCTGGCTGAGGTCATCACAATATATTACATTTTGAGAAAAAAAAAACATTATTGGACATATTTCTTGCGAAATCTGCAAAGATCTAAAACTATTGAAGGAAAAGTGATTCTATCATACACTTTGTTCGCCGTATCAACATCTTGTGTTCAAGTAATTCCGAAATAGGAGCCCCGACATGTCCAAGTGGTTAGGGCGCTCGACTCGCAATCTGAGACTTGCCCTTTCAGCCGTGGTGGCGTTATAATGTGACGGTCAATCCCACTATTCGTTGGTAAAAGAGTAGCCGAAGAGTTGGCGGTGGGGGGTGATGACTTGCTGCCTTCCCTCTAGTCTTACACTGCTAAATTAGGGACGGATAGCGCAGATAGCCCTTGTGTAGCTTTGGATGAAATTCAAAACAAACAAACCGTTCCGAAATGGTTGTATCTACTTTACGGATGAAACATGAAATCAGTGGAGTTCGACAAGGTGGAGGCTGTGTTTAAGAGAAGAGCATCTGAGCTTCTGGTTGATAGAGTTTAGGCCTAAATTTATGATTCCCATTTTAGTACAAAGTATGTCTGTTTGTTTGTTTGTAATTAAGCACAAAGCTACACAATGGGCTATCTGTGCTCTGCCCACCACAGGTATCGAAACCAGTATTCTAGCATTGTAAGTCCACAGACATACCGCTGTGCCACTGGGGGGCATAAAGTATGTCAACGAGGTGAGAATTATAGATTTTAACAATCATTCCATTACGAGTTGGAATAAGTTGGTGGATGTCTGCTTGAAGACAATACTTAGATATTTACAAAAAAAAAAGAGTTTACAAATCATAAAGAATTTAGAGTTCCTTTGAA